GGTCTCTCCCCCCCCCCTTCTCCCCCCGTTGAGAGCCCGCACACGGCAGGACACTCCGCCAGGAGCTTAAGTTGCGCGGCCGAAGGTGCGGGGATGCTCCGGGTGCGGAGGTGACACGGGGAAATCCCGAAGGCTGCGGATTTTATATAAAAAAAAAAAAAGGAAACAACTACAATAACAACAACAAACCAAACAAACCCCTCCGATCGATAACACAAAGAAAACAAAAATAAATCCTCCTAAATATTTATGTTCCGCTTATTATTATTATTATTTCCCTTCTCCACCGTGCCCCCCCAGCCCGTCTTTCCCCATCCTCCCGCAGAATGTTTGTAAAATAGCATTAAAGATTGATGCGGTGCCTTTGGCTGGAGGGAGGAGGCGTGCCCGGGTCCTCAAAGTGTCCCGATTAGAGCCATGACACCAACAGCTGTGCGGGGAGGGGACAAAAAGCATCTCTTGCCTTGCCTGAGGCTCAACTGCGGGATGGCTCTCCGCAGAGGGGAGGCAGGTGGCAAAATGATGGGGGGTTGAAGTCAGCCCGGAGGAAGCAGAGAAAAAGTACTGTCTGACCCCGCGCAAAGAAAGGAAAAAGCCCAAGGCAGAAAACTCCAGGGTAGGTGCACGGGAATCAAATCAGTAAAACTTTCTTGCTTTTCTTTGGTTTTCTTTTCTTTTTCTTTCTTTTTTTTTTTTCCCCACCCCCGAATAGCAGGGTGTCTATCTCCTGGTCTTCCTTCTCTATCTCTCTCTCTCTGTCTCTCCTTATCTATCTCTCTCTCTCTTTATCTCTCTAATTATTTCAATTATTCCTTACCGGCGCAATAAAGATAAAAAAAAATATTTATAGCGAAGAATGAACCGGTTTTGGTGGGGTTTTTTTTGGTTTTGTTTTGTTTTTTTAAAAAAATAATCTAAATCACTCTGCCTAAATGAAACAGCAATAAAACCTAAAAGCTGTCTTCTTTTTGAAGCATCCAACGCACCTGGAGCTGCGTTCGGGTTGGAAACCAAAGTCCTCAAAAAAAAACCCCAAAAACTATTCAAATTTAGATGTGTCATATATTAAAAAAAAAAAAAAAAAAAAATTAAAAAATCCAGAAGGCAAATAGAAATAGCAATCCATACCTAAACCGAACAGAAGTAAAAAATCCCCAGTAAGGTTTGGGGGTGTTTTGCACTGGAATAAGGCGCTGGGAGGTGTTGGCTGCAGAGACAGAAGGGCTCTGTGGAGTTGTGGAAGTGGCCAGATGTCTTTATATCTGTCTCCAGCATGCTCTGCCTCTCAGCACTTGCCTTTATAATCTCACGCATAATTGGCCTTAATCTGATTATTTCCAGCGCTGTCTACAGTGAGTAACTTGGATAGGTCTATTGGGCCCTACAAATGGCCCACGTGGTGTGCAGAGCACGGGGAGGGCGGGGGGGGGGGGGTGAAAAAAAAAAAAAAAAAAAAAAAAAGATTAAAAGAAAGAAGAAAAAAACCCGTCATTTCTCAGCAAACACCAGGAATGCGAAGAGCAGCACCAAAAAGCCCTTTTTTTCTCTGAGAGTCGGAGCTCCGGGATGGGCGACCTCCCTCCCTCCGCC